ATAAACATACAGTATACCATTACATAATAGTACAAGTACATATGCATATATCATTAAAGTGCAGGATTCTAAGTTAATTAGTATCTGAGTTCTAATAAAATGAAATATAATGATAATAACCTGAAAGGTATTTTTTTTTAAAAATATACAGCTTTACACATCTACTGCATTAACTGTTTTGTACAGCTATCAAATTTAAACCTATTGGCACTAGGCAATAAAGTTGAAATATCTAGAGAGATTTCAGAAATAACTGTTGATCCACACATGATAAGTGCCAGGGAACTGCTGGCTAAATAAATAAATGTTACAAGCGCTTTTCTGATATTGTTTTATATAATGGAGCAATCAGTTTGTTTCACAGGAGAAGCTTCTCTACTGGGGTTGGGTGTGTGCTTTAACCTACTGAACAGATCTCTCGAGAGACCTGTGAAAGTACAAGGCTATTTACCGAAATGAACTGTGAGAGTAAAAGAAATTACCCTCTTCCATAGCTGGTATTTGTTCTGCATCTTCAATCTGGTTACAGCATGCATAGCTGTCTGTTTGCATTAATAGTACTTACTGCTTCACCTTCTAGCAGACTGACAGAATGCAGCTCTTATCCAGAAAAGGAAGGGGGCTATTGTGGCTTTTAGGTGTTACAGCAAATGCTATGAAGTACTATAAATATTTGTTTCTAATTTATATCTTCCCAGTTACAATTATTGGCTATCAAGTATGGTTTCTGTGCCTCATGATTAACTAAAGGCAATACAATTATGATATTTATACAAAAACAATCACAAAGCCATTCAAGCTATAAATGGAGCTGAGAAAGTACATGAACTGGAGGAACATATTATGGTTTGAGCCATTTAAAGTTTTTTAAAAAGCAAGTGTTTATAGGTTTCTAAATTTGCTTAGCTTATAGGAAATATGCCAGCTAAAGTGGTTACCATTCGGCTTAGAAGTATCCTATGCAGCATGTCCAATGCATTATTAATACTTGTGGCATTAAATCAGTCACATAGATACATACTGATGGAATTGGTTTGGCAGTGACCTAAAGCCCCTTGAGGCAGTGTGTCAGACACCCTGCACACAAAGAAAGATGGTGCTATTTATACAGCCCTATCAATGTACAAAGAAATGGCCAGCAATGCATTTCCACAACTAAGCTGATGTGCCTATAGCATCTATTCCTGGAAAAGCCTAATTTGGTCATAGCTTCACATGTCTTAATTGTATTCTGTTTCAAGAGCCAGAATATTGTAGTGGTTAAGATATTGGACTAAGGCTGGAAAAACCCAATGGAAATTTCCAGGATAACACTGGGCCAGTTGATCCCTCCAGTTGCTGCTCAGATAAACAAGAAGTACTGCTTCAAAACACTCTCATGAGCTCCACAAGAAGAAATATTTTCAGCATTATTCCAACTCCTGATTATGAACCCTTATTCATAAATAACTTGGAATGAGATCATATTAAAATCCTCAAGATCTTTTCAATTTCCCTCTCTGTCAGAAGTCAGGTTGGCACCTATCAATAATTGGTTGCATAAATTATTGGTGATTATTTTTCCATTGCCAATATTGAAATAAAGTTAATTTCTAGTCTACTAAGTTTCTGCACATGGATGTAGGAGGAAAGGACTTCTTATCCTTCATATCAAGTAAGAATAGTGTCTTCAGTTGATCCTGAAAGCAATCAGGTTATAACTTCTTTGGAAGAAGCTTCTCTGGCTTTGTACCACAGTTTGATGGGAATGTCATTTCTGAAATTCCCACCAAAGGCACATGAGCTCTGTCTTAGTTTCCTTCAACCAACATGCAAGAATTTCCAATCCAGTGTGTCTGAAGTAGATTTTATCTGGATATTTTTAATGAAAGTTTTATAGTATATATCATTTGCTCTTCTTTCTTCTTTTAAAGTGAGTTAGTCATCCAGGGACAAGAGCTTTAAGAACAACATACAATAAAATATAGAACTATAGAAATCAATTAAATCAACATCTGTGAAGTCTTCTTTAATATAATGGATTCTGCAGTGTAATGGGTGGTTTTGTTTATTTTAAATGATACTGTATGAGAATAGTACTGGATTTTTGCTGCAAATTTTGTAAATGGTATTCTCTCTATTCTATATGTATCACTTATCTTCCAATATTAAAGTATTGTATCATTCCTGTAAAGGAATGAATCCATTATTGATTAAGCCATTTTATTTGGGCTACTGAATCAGATTATTTATTTTTTATTGAAATCTATCAAACAAAAATAAGAACAAGAGAATGAAAATACAATGATGGGGATAATAGGCACATTAGTGCACTTATGCACGCCCCCTCTACTGACCTGTTAAGTATGAAGTAAGGTTCACAGAAGTCAATTTGTGACTGAAACTGTGAATTGATTGAATTGAATTTGAACTGAAACTGTGGATTGATTGAAGAATGGCTCAAGTTCTTCAGTTACATATTAATTCCCCCCTGAGTTTCCCCTCTTCTATCTCTAGAAGAAATCACTAATTCAGTGGCATGTGTTTGATAAAATTATCTCAAAATCTGCCTTTCAGTTTCCCCTTCATTGTTCTTCCTCTGCAAAGTGAGCACCTGCTCTTCTATCTCATTTCAGATACTTCAGATTTTTCTGTATGGTTTTGTAGGGTTTGAGGGCTCACTTCATCATCATGTTATGGGGGAAAGAATGATTTTAAAAAAAACAACAAGGCATTTTTCTTTACCAATTAAAAAATGATATGGAGTACCTCTGTTTTCTTTTTAAATTGTCCCCAAAATGGTCATGAAGAAAGAGATTTATCAATGGTTGGATAAAAAGACATGGTAAGGTAACAGAATAGATAATTTTGTTATAGAAGTTTAATAGACTGATACAAAATATAATGTAGACATATATAACCATTGGATGATAGCATAATATAATATTGATGGAATAAGTAGCAGGATAATTAATAATTGATAAATAGATAAGCATATGTTAGTTTGACAATGTGAGACTGATATAAATTGTGAACTTATGATTATGAAAGAATCGCACAAAAGAATCTAAACCAACTAACACACTGTATGTACAAAATGGAAGATGGTTTTATGTTTTTTTATGTATTGTCTGTGTATGTTTGTCTTAAAATAAAATAAAAATTATAAAAAAAAGAAAGAAAGAAAGAGAGATTGGACTAGATATGGACACACTTTTCCATCAAGCAATAAATAAACATGCAAAAAGACCTAGAATCTTTCCTTAGTACATAGAAACATTTAGTTTTAGACATATATAGAAATGATAAAGTGATTTTTAAAAACAATCAGCAGAAGTAAAAACTGTATGTAGCATTGTAAATTCAGAAATAATTGCTATTTCATAGTACAAAATGGTTTCAATCCTTTGTCCCTTGTTCACCTTTTGTTCTTGAAAATAAGTGTTTTTGTAACTGTTTTATACATGGGGGGATATAAATGTGTGTATATATGTGTGTGTGTGTGCTTGTGGTATATAATACTGAGAATAATATTACACACACACACACACACAAATACACACATACAGACATATATACATATACATATATATATATACATTACATATACATATACATATACATATACATACATACATACATACATACATACATACACATATATAATCTTTTCTGCTTTGTGTCTTTCCAATCTTCTACAATATTATTGGCTTTCCACTGTGTCTGAATTGAAAAAGGCCTCTTTCTTTCATACAATGTCTTCTTACAATACATATAATGTCTTCCTTTGCAAACTGAATAATTGTGTGGGAAACATGATTGTACAATGAAAAACAAAGCAAGTATATATACACCCATAGGCGCAGACATACACATCCTTCAGCTCTAGGGCTGCATTATAATTTTGTCTTTTTGATATCAGTGTGATTTGCATGGCAGCTTTCCAGCTTCATGTTTAATTTCAAAATGAAAGCTCAGCCCTATGTAGTTCGACATATGTCCATCACACAACAAAGACAGGCAGAGAATAAGCAGGGGATTGTAGGCGATGCAACTACATTAACGAGTTGCAAAATGGTAATGTTGAATTTTTCTTTATCCATCTAATTAAGCATTCTTTAAAAAAAAAACACCACAAGTTAAACAATCAGCCAAATACAATTAAAGCTGTTTTGAATCATGGATTTAAAAAAAAATTCTACTGGGAGTGGACAGATTAATTATATTTCATGTGCTTTGGTTTACAAGTACTTCAGTGGTTTCTATTTGATGAAACAAATCAATGAACATTTTGGAAGCTGTAAATGTCTTACAGTAGCTGAATATATTATTGTAACAGTAGTTTGTAGATGCATACAGCACATGCGCGAACACACACACACACACACACACACACACACACACAAGCCCATCCTTTTCTCTCTCACATTGCCTCATCAGCATTGGCCTTGTGAACTGCAGCTCAGGAGTGGAGTGTACCAAATGGATGATGTTATTGAAGTAGAGAGCAGCACAAGAGGAGCTGAGGGAGAAGTAATCTGACATTGTATGACAAAATTACATTATTATCTGAAAGCAGATTGGTTTACTTGCCCTGTACTCACAAGCTCCTTTCCCTTGATAATCATCTTCACACTCAACTGCACTTCATAGCTTGTTTACCATGTTGCAATGATATTTGCTCCCTACATTTATTTGATATTGGTCACATTTTAAAGCATTATCACTTAAATTCATTCCTTTAGCTAAAGAATGTGTGTTTTATTTGTGAACAAGAATGTGAAAATTGTAATAAAAACAAGGACAACATACACATACACACATTACTAAACAGAAGACGCAATGAAGTATAACCAAAATATAACAGTGTTAATAAAAACAAATGTCACTCATTTAATCACTACACAGAAGAATGATTAAATGAGTGACATTTAAAGAAACCAAAATATATATTCATAAAGTGCTAATATGGAATTAACTCAATCTTCAATCATTTAATGTATTAAATCTAGCCCTATAGATCATCCATTGTTCTATTTTGATACAGTATGTTATTTCAGTACAATTATATTTATCTACTTGGATTCTTAATATTCTCTTATTACATGTGATCTTAACAAAAGGCCAAGAAATGAGAAATATATGCATAGAAAGATACCCACAACACCCACTCCCTGCCCCACTCACCCATATTGTCATATCATGCATTTTGATTGTCCTATCACCTCTCTATTTTCTTTGTTTGTTTAACTTTTATGCTGCCCATTTTCTCCACAAGGGGATTCTGGGTAGCTTGATTGCCTTACTAACTCTTACTAATTACATTCTTAGTCACATATCTATGTTGGACAATTGGACTTTGTTCCCACATAGCCAGTCCTATTCCCTTAAAATTGACCTATTGCCTTCAAGTTGGTAAAGGATTTTACCTTTGAACTACCTCCAATTGTGGCATTGTGTAAATAAAATGGTTTATAAAATGTACCATTGACAGATAGTTGAGGTGGTAGACACTGGGAAATTCTATCAGTGGCTGGAAAAGGATGGACTATAAGACAGCATTGAAGCACTGATCATAGCAGCACAAGAACAAGCACAAAGCACCAGATCCATAGAAACAGGGATCTACCATGTAGATAGGATCCAAGGTGCAGACTATATAGAGAGGCTTCAGAGAAAGTCCAAAGCATAGTAGCAGGCTGTAAGATACAGGCAGGAACAGCATACACTGAATGGCAGAACCAAGGAATTGGCATTGTGTAGAGGAAAATTGGTGCACGAGATCCTTCTAAGTCTAGATGGGAGTTTCCCCAGAAGATTGTGGGAAATAAAAGGGCTATGATGCCATGGGATTTTCAGATCCAGACAGACAGGAAGTTACTAGCCAATCAACCAGATATTGTGACAAAGACCAGACGACAGTCATAGTGATGTATGTAGCAGTGCTAAGTGACAACATCATCAGGAAGAAGGAATATGAGAAATTGAACAAGTGCTAAGACCTGAAAGAGGAACTAGAGAGAGTGTGGAAAGTAAAGGCCAAAGTGGTCTTAGTGGTAGGAGCACTCCAAGGGTGGGATTCTACCAGTTCTGACCAGTTCTATAGAACCCCTTGTTAACTTTCTAAGCAGTTTGGAGAACTGATAGTTAGAAGAATTTCCTTTTGTTTTTTTCCACCCTTATTACATTCTTGGCAGACAGCCCAGACTTACTGTTTCCGAAGGAGTTTTTTTTGTTCTTAAAGGAGAAGGGTTGTTTTAAGCTTTTTACACTGCTGTTGGGAGGAAATACTCTCCTGGAAATACTTCTTGGCTAGCTAGAAAGATTGACATTCAAATGTGAGTTTACATACCCTTTCTTAGTTTTGGTCTAAAACTGGTTTTTGGTAAAGTTT